ATTCCATTGTGTATATACACCTTATTTTCTTTTTTTAAGAGAGAGAGAGAGAGAATTTTTTCAATATTTATTTTTAGTTTTCAGTGGACACAACATCTTTATTTTTTTATTTTTATGTGGTGCTGAGGATGGAACCCAGCTCCCCGCGCATGCCAGGTGAGCGCGCTACCGCTTGAGCCACATCCCCAGCCCCTACACCATATTTTCTTTATCCATTGATCTCTTGAAGGGCATCTAGGTTACTTCCATAGTTTAGCTATTGTGAATTGAGCTGCTATAAACATTGATGTGTCTGTGTCTCTTGTACCATGCTGATTTTAAGTCCTTTGGGTATAAACTGAAGAGTGGGATAGCTGGGTCAAATGGTGGTTCTATTCCAAATTTTGTGAGAAATCTCAATACTGCTTTCCAAAGTGGTTGCACCAACTTGCAATCCCATCAACAATGTATGAGTGTACCTTTTTGCCCACATCTTTGCCAACACTTATTATTGCTTGTCTTCTTGATAATTACGATTCTGACTGGAGTGAGATGAAATCTTTGATTAGTTTTGATTTGCATTTCTCTGATTGCTAGAGATGATGAACACTTTTTCATATGTTTATTGATCAACTGTATTTCTTCTTCTGAGAAGTGTCTGTTCAGTTTCTTAGCCCATTTATTGATTGGGTTGTTTGTTTTTTTTTTGGTGTAAAGTCTTTTGAGTTCTTTATATATCCTGGAGATTAGTGCTTTGTCTGATGTGTATGTGGTAAAGATTTTCTCCCATTCTGTAGGCTCTCTCTTCGCATTATTTATTGTTTCATTTGCTGAGAAGAAGCTTTTTAGTTTGAATCCATCCCATTTATTCATTAACTTCATTTTATTTACTTTTTTAAAAATGTGGTCCTGAGGATCAAACCCAGTGCCTCACACATGCTAGGCAAGTGCTCTGCCACTGAGTCACAACCCCAGCCCCCATTAATTGATTCTTATTTTTACTTTAGGAGTCTTGTTAAGGAACTCATGTCCTAAGCCAACCTGATGAAGATTTGAGCCTACTTTTTCTTCTATTAGGCACAGGGTCTCTGTTCTAGTGCCTAACTCACTTTGAGTTGACTTTTGTGCAGGGTGAGAGATAAAGGTTTAGTTTTCCCAGCACCATTTATTGAAGAGGCTATATTTTCTCCATTGTAAGTTTTGGCACTTTTGTCTAGTAAAGAGAACCATATTTATGTAGGTTTGTCTCTGGGTCTTCTATTTTGTACCATTGGTCTATATGTCTATTTTGGTACTAATACCATGCTATTTCTGTTACTATTGCTCTATAGTATGGTTTAAGGTCTGGTATGCTGATGCTTCCTGCTTCACTCTTTTTGCTGAGGATTGTTCACTTTTTTGCTGAGGCTGTTCTGAGTCTCTTATTTTTCCAAATTTTTTTCATGATTACTTTTTCTAGTTCTATGAAGAATGTCATTGGGATTTTAATTTGAATTGCATTAAATCTGTATAATAGTTTTGGTAATATGGCCATTTTAACTATATTAATTCTGCCTATCCAAGAGCATGGGAGGTCTTTTCATCTTCTAAGATATTCAATTTCTTTCTTTAGTGTTCTATAGTTTTCATGGTAAAGGTCTTTCACCTCTTTTGTTAGATATATTCCCAAGTATTGCCTTTTATTTATTTGTTTGTTTATTTTGACATGCTTGGTATCTGCAGAAAAGTATATGCCATGTTGAAGACAACTGGAACACAGTTTGAGAAATATGCTACTAATACCAATTCAGAAGGCCAAGATTTAACCATGGCATATAGCATTAGAAAAGTTGAAAATGATCTCTCTCATAGAATATCTGAGATTTTGTATTTGCTTAAATATCATACAATATGAATAAAACCAGGAGTGTACTTTGGAGTTTCAGTATTAGGGAAATTTTTAAAAATTGTTCTGCCAGGCAACAATTTTTGATCCTATAAAATAGAAAAACTAATAAGTATATGGCATTGTTCCTAAAAAAGTTATATCTGAAATCACAGCTTTCCTCGTTGTAAATATATCTGCATTTTTTGTGTTAAGATAGGATGAATCACATATATAAATTATAGGACTCTAAAGATTCACCAAGGATTTTCTTATTTTCCCCTGTTTTCCTGTACATTTAGAGGGAAACCTGACTTTTTAAAATGGCCTTTAGACTTGGCCCTTGCAGAAGACCACCTATTTCCTCTGTCTGGCCATCTCCTACATAAGCAAGCACTAGAAGCTTTTGGTGGCCTCAATTTTATTTCTTACTGATTAAAACAACAAATACATAGTCTGACCCAGAAAGGGATAACTTGCTATTCCAGAAAAAAAAAAAAAACACTTAAAGCACTATATATATTGACTTTCCCTTCATTTGTTACTCAATTTTTGTGCCTGGATTAGAAACCTGCTTGGGAAGACAGTGTATTAAATCAACAAAGAGTTAATCACTACACAAGTCCTAGATTTCATGTATTATGTGCCAGGCACTGTGTTAGGAGGCTTTACTAGTGAACTATACTAAATGTTTAAAGAAAGATTAATATAAATCCTTCCCAAACGCTTCTAAAAGAGAGAAAACTTCCTAACTTATAGTATGAGGCCAGCATTATCCGGATATAAAAGTCAAACAAATACATCACAAGGAAAAAAATTACAAACCAATATTTCTAATGGATATAGATTTAAAAATCCTCAACCAAATAAGAACAAATCAAACCCAGCAGCATATTACTAACATTTTTTTTCTTTGCTTAAGTTGAAATTTTCCCAGGAATGCATGGTGATTAAATATAAGAAATTAATCTGTTAACCACACATTAGTAAAATCTAGGTGGAAACATCCATAAGTTCATCTATGTTGGGGCAGAAAAATTGTTTCATAAAATTGAACAGAGTTTCATGATTAAAAACCCTAATCAAACTAGAAAAAGGAAAATTTGTCAATGTGATAAAAGGCAAAAGTAACATCATACTCAATGGAGTAAGAATGAAAAGTTTCCTCTAACATGAATAATAAGATAACAATGCTGGCTTAACTATTTCTACTCAAAATTGTACTAGAAATTCTAGCAAGAGCAGGTAAACAAGAAAAAGAAGAAAAAGTCATCCACATTGGAAAAAAAGAAATAAAACTACCTTATTCTCATATTATATAAGCTTATGTACAGAAAATCTTAAACAATCCACAAAAACACTATTAGAGTTGATAAATTAATTCAGTGAAAATACAAGACTAAAATACAGAAGTCAGTTGTATTTCTCTACATTATAAATGAAACCTGGGATTAAACGAAATAATTCTACTTAAAATAGCATCAAGAAGAATAAAATACTCAGAAATAAATTTAATTAAAGAGGTGTGACACTTATCAACGGAAAATGCCAAGACATTGTTAAAGATATTAATGATGACTTAAAAAGAATGACAAAGTTGGACAAACACATTAAATATAATAAAGGGTAAAGAAATAAACCAATAAATGCATTCATCAGTATGGGGACCCAAAACTTAAAAAAAGTATTCAAATGGAAACTTGTAAGGGAATGCTCATTGTAGCATTAGGTGATCTAGGGGATCAAAATATACAATCCTAAAACATGCCATCCTGGTATATTGATTATTTTCAGTTAAAGGCACCTGAAAAACAGAAGATGAAAGAAGGGCACTATGACTTATTTTTTTGTTTTTCCTGAAAGGAGATGATATTTTCATATATCCTTTCTGCATCCAGAGGAAAGAAGATGTTTGTATTACAAGAGATGGGGAGTGTAGGAAAAGCAAAACCTGCACAAACATTGCTAAACTAACCATTAACTTCCTATTGACTTTTACAAAATTTAATATCCTGACCCAAGCCCTCTGTATTGTCATGTATTCAGTATTTACTAGTTTGTCCAACATAGCATACACAAATTTGCCTGTAACTGCTTCTCTGGGTGTTCATTTTTCTTGCAAGGGCTCCCATGTCAATATAAAACTTAGTAAATAAAATTTGTGTGGTCTTGCCCTGTTAGAATGTATTAAGTCCTGGTTGGATACCCTAACAAGGTAGGGAGAAATTTTTCCTCTTCCATAGTCAAAGTCACCCAGCTATCCATCAACTGATGAGTGGATACACAAAATGTGGTGTATGCATACAATGGCGTATTATTCAGGTGTGAAAAGGTACGAAGTGCTGATTCGTGCTGCAACGTGGATGAACCCTCATGCTAAGCGAATGTAGTCGGACACGAAAGGCCACACATTTAACTCTGATTGCACGTATAGTTTCCGTCCAGCATAGGCAATTCTCTATGGTAAGAAAGCACGTTAGTGGCTGCCAGGGGCCCTCAGGAGCAATGTGTGTGTGCGTGCGCGCGCGCGCGCAGATGCGCACACACAAGGGGGGGGGGGGGGGACAGCTTAAGGGGTACCGGGTGTTTCTGGGGGGCGGTGTAAGTTTCTTGGAAGTAGATGGTCCTGGCGGTGGTACAGCACTGTGATGGGACATACTTGACGCCTCTGACACGCACCCCCCAGTCCTCCTCTTCTTCCCTAGACTGCTCCCCTCCAGCAGAAAGTGAGAGCTCCTGTGCCAAGATGGGAGGGCCCTGGCCAGTGAGGAGGCTAGGAGGCTGGGAGGCCTGGAGGCCATCTGGCCGCCCCGTCTCGGCCCAGGCCCAGGCCCAGGCCCAGGCCCACACACTGCGGACCAGCCGGGGAGTGCCGACATCATCAGAGCGCGTCATCGCCGACCAATGAGGGGGCAGCCGGGGGTCGCTAGGATACGGGGCCCTGGAGCACTGGACCCAGACTACCTGCCGCACCCACCGAGCACCCACCGTTGGCGTCTAAACCGGCATCACATCGGGCCAGGCAAAGCCCAGTCCAGCCGAGCTGAGCAGAGGGAGCCCAGTCCAGCCGAGTCAAGCTGAGCAGAGCAGAGCAGAGCAGAGCAGAGCTGAGCAGAGCTAAGCAGAGGGAGCCCAGTCCACCTGAGCTGAGCCCAGCATGCCAAGGCAGAGGAGCCGTCGAGGAGGAGGAGGAGGAGGAGGAGGAGGAGGAGGAGGAGGAGGAGCAGCAGCAGCAGCAACAGCAACAGGAGGAGGAGGAAGAGGAAGAGGAGGAGGAGGAGGAGGAGGAGGAGGAGGAGGAGGAGGAGCAGCAACAGCAGGAGGAGGAGGAGCAGGAGCAGCAGCAGCAGCAACAGGAGGAGGAGGAGGGTCATCGTCGGGGTTGTCCCGTCCCCAGAGGCAGGCCCGCTCCCGCACCGCCCGAGCTGAGCTGACCTTCTCCGTGAGCCAGGTGGAGCGCCGTCTGCGGGAGGGCCGCTATGCCCAGCGCCTGAGTTGGTCTGCGTCCGTGTTCCTGGCCGCCACCCTCGAGTGCCTGACAGCCAAGGTGCTGGAGCTGGCGGGCAACGAGGCCCGCCACAGCGCCAGGAGGCGCATCACCCCAGAGCTCCTGGACATGGCCGTCCACAACAATGCGCTGCTCAGCGGTCTCTTCGGGACTACCACCATCTCCCAGGTCGCCCAGCCCCGGCGCTAGCTGCTGCTGCTGGCTCGGGGGCCCTCGCCCAAGCACCGGCCCACCTGTCCACCAGGCCCCAGGCCCCCTGGCTCTCGGCCAGCCTCGCCCGGCCTGGCTTGTGCCTTCAGCCAGCCCTTTCATTAAAGCGTTTCAAGAAACCCTCCGCCTGCCTCAGTCACTTTGTGTTGAGGGGGGGTGGGGGCTCTCCAGGCCTCTGGAGTTGGGGGGACAGCCAGGCCAGGCGCTGGGAGTGCTGCGGGGTGGGCTTCAGGCCTGTGGCGTTAGGTACCTGGGACGGCAGGAGGAGTAAAGGGAGGAAGAGGAGAGAGAGAGAGGAGGAGGAGGAGGAGGAGGAGGAGGAGGAGGAGGAGGAGGAGGAGGCGGCGGCCTTCTTCCTGGGGGTGGGAGGGGCAGCGCAGGGGGTGACCCTGGGTGGCAAGGGCAGGCCAGCGTGGGCATTGTGGGGTGGGCGTCGAGGTACAGAAGACGCCTCCCCATGGCCCTGAATGACTCAGGGCCTGCCTGCTTGCTTGCGTGCCTGCCTGCCTGCCCGCCCACCCACCCAAGTCGCCAGAAAGGGGGTGGCCACGACACTAGGGCCGTGGGTCGTGACACGACCCATGTCTGAAGGCGACCAGCCGCGGTGGGGTGGACAGGTGGCCAGAGTGGCGGGGCTGGGCGCCCACGGGGCAAGGAGCTTCGACGGCAAGATGGAGACGTGAGGGGGGAAGGGTCCAGGGAGGAAAAAACAAACAAACAGGGAACTCGGGTCAAGCAGGGTCATGGATTGAGCTTTGGTCACGTTCAGATGGAGAAGCTGCTAGGCGCCCTTAGCAACCGAGGGCCACTAGCTGCAACCTAGCAACAGCTGGCGCCTGCAGAGGCCCCGCAAGCCCAGGACCCCGCCTCGGTGCAGAGGCCCTCGTCTGGACCGCCCCGTAATCCGTCATTGGTGTAAGTACCTCGCGGGCAGCCGGCCGGCCCCGCCCCGCCCCGCAGCCACCATTTGCATATGCCCCGGGCCGGGGACTCTGCATTTGCCTGGGGGGGGGGCCTACGGGAGGCCAGGCCCCGCCCCCTCGCCCTCGATTTGCAGGAGCAGCTCCCCGGATGGCCAGGCCACGCCTGCCCGGGACCCTCGATTTGCGTAGGAACCCGGTGCCAGGCCAAGCCCCGCCTCCTGACCCGCGCTTCGCAAAGGCAGCTGGCTTCACGCCTCTCCGGTCGCGTCGGTTACTGAAACCAGCCCCGGACCCGCCCGCGTCCCTGATTGGCATACGCGCCTCCCAGCCAGGCCCTGCCTCTCACCTTTGCACATCACCAGGGCGACGGGGGACTGCGGGGGCGCCGCAGCCAGACGTGTGCTTCGAGGCGCGCGGTCGCGGTAGGCCGCTGCAGGCCGCTGCAGCGTGACGCACGGCACGTCGCGGCCCGCCGGCGGCGTGGCCGGGACCTTTGCCCACGTAGGCGTGTCCGGAAGTTCCCGGACCTGGCAACATGGCGGCTTCCACGTCCGGCCTCGGCGGTGGCGTCGTCCCTGGTCCCGAAGCCGGGGACTTCCTGGCCCGGTACCGCCTGGTGTCGAACAAGCTGAAGAAGCGGTTCCTGCGGAAGCCGAACGTTGCGGAAGCCGGGGAGCAGTTCGGTCAGTTGGGCCGCGAACTGCGCGCCCAGGAGTGCTTGCCTTACGCAGCCTGGTGCCAGCTGGCAGTGGCGCGGTGCCAGCAGGCGCTCTTCCACGGGCCTGGGGAGGCGCTGGCCCTCACGGAGGCCGCACGCCTCTTTCTGCGGCAGGAGTGCGACGCGCGTCAGCGCCTGGTCTGCCCCGCCGCCTATGGCGAGCCGCTGCAGGCGGCTGCCAGCGCCTTGGGCGCCGCTGTGCGCCTGCACCTGGAGCTGGGGCAGCCGGCCGCCGCCGCCGCCCTGTGTCTGGAGCTGGCCGCCGCCTTGCGCGACTTGGGCCAGCCGGCCGCCGCCGCCGGCCACTTCCAGCGCGCCGCCCAGCTGCAGCTGCCCCTTCTGCCCCTGGCCGCTCTGCAGGCGCTGGGCGACGCCGCCTCCTGCCAGCTTCTGGCGCGCGACTACAATGGCGCCCTGGCGCTCTTCACGCGCATGCAGCTCCTAGCGCAGGAGCATGGCAGCCATCCCGTGCAGCAGCTCCCGCCTCCACCACCGCAGACCCTGCTGGCCCCGGCGCAGTCTCAGCCCCAGCCGCCGGGGCCCCAACCCGGACCTGGCGCGACCCCCTTGGTGCCCGCCGCACCGCTCCCCGCAAACCCTGGCTCTGCCTTGCCCTCTCCTGTCGCCCTGGGCGCCTTCTCGGAGGTGCTGGTGCGCTGCGAGGTGTCCCGTGTGCTGCTGCTGCTGCTCCTACAGCCACCTCCGGCCAAGCTTCTGCCCGAGCACGCCCAGACTCTGGAGAAGTACTCCTGGGAAGCTTTTGACAGCCACGGACAGGAGAGCAGCGGCCAGCTTCCTGAGGAGCTCTTTCTGCTGCTGCAGTCCTTGGTCATGGCTACCCACGAAAAGGACATAGAAGCCGTCAAGTCACTGCAGGTGGAGATGTGGCCTCTGTTGACTGCTGAGCAGAACCACCTCCTTCACCTCGTTCTGCAAGAAACCATCTTCCCCTCAGGACAGGGGGTCTAATAATCACTTTAACCAAAGACCTTTTTGCCTGGTAGTCGACCTCATTCATCCACCTTTGCATTTAGGGGGAAATAAAAGGCTTTGATCCAGGTTCTGCATCTCCTGTTACTCATTGTAACCATGGGAATTTAGTTGACTGAAGTTACCTCCCAAATGTGCTTTTCTACCATGGAGGAGAAGAAATAAAATGGAATATTATAGAATCACAGTGAAGGACATTTTATCTCTTCCAAAAAACTGCAACATTAAAAATGAGAATCCTTTTAATCTTCTTTCTCTTTCACCCCCATCTTTCTTTCCTAGTGAGCACTTGGAAACATTGGGTTTGCACAACTCTGAATAAGCTGTATGACTTTATGGCTCATTTCTTAGTCTGTTTCTGTGTGTGTTGGTGATCACTAATTTTTTCCTGTGTTTCATCTCACATGTTCATGGGAGTCATTTTATGGCTTAGAACCTTGTTGCTATAGCCCCAAATCCATGATAAAACTGAATACTCCTGCCTTGAGATTGAGATTTGCCTTATCTGTAGTAGACTACTTCACCAATGTGTCAGGAGGCAAAAAGCAGGACCAGATTCTTTGAGTCCCAGGATTTATTCATTCATTTCAAATATATACTTTTCCTGGTGTGGGGACCATGCTGGATAACAAATGAATCAATCTATAGCAGAGGCCATTTGTCATATTATTACTGAGAAAATACCTAAATAAACCTTCCAGCTTCCCTTGCTCTTTAATGACTTTAAAATCACTAATTTCAGAGGTCACATGACTGGGTAATACATTTACTCCCCAGCTGGCTTTGCTGGAGATGACACCTGAGTGTGCTATAAGGATAACGGTTACTTAAGTTACTCTTCAAGGGCCTGAAGGCTGCTTTTGCTGAAAACACTGACTCTTCATTTGGGCCTGCAAATGTCCCATGCATGACTGGAATGAGATGAACATACTTAGCATCTCTATCTTCACTTTGTGATTGTCTCCTTTATTGCATCAGTTTTTGAGTGAAATTCTTCTCAGCACCACATGTCTGAAACTGTAATATAGGGTTAACTTGACCTAGACTTACAATTTCCTTTTAAAGCTAACAACACGAGCTGTCAGGACCAGAAACAGACCATGAAAGAAATGAAAACAAATATTCCTGGAAGATCTCAGCTTATTCCCAGAACAGACATGAATATTCCTGTACTTTATAAGACTTTCCCTCTCTTCATTATTCCTATCATATATCCATAACCCCTCAACGCCTTGGAGTGAGAAGCTTATTTATGAACAAACTCTACTTCCTCCATTCTTTGACCATTGAAAAAATAACTTCTTTCTCTGTGGCACTCAGCTCACACATTGTTTTTTTTTTTTTTTTTTTTTTCCTTGTGAGACTAACTTCCAAACCTGGGTTCAGTAACAATATGGTTGTTACTCAGATTATTGCAATGAAAATGTGTACAGCTCATCAGTTCATCATTGTTTCTTTGCTGATTCTTTGTTTTGCAAAACTTTAAATATAAGCCATTCATAATTATGTTACCTACTTGCCTTGGAAGTCAAGGTTCTAGTATACTTCCAACAGGTACATATAATCTAACATTGCAACTTTTATTTAACTCAAGTTTGTGAACTCTGAGCACAACTCTTTAATTGTGGAATCATATATATGCAAGGCAGGTCCTTGTTACCCCCAAAGCATAATGACATTCCACTATGCACATGAAATTAGTATGTACAAAAAATGCATGTTAATAAAAAGTAAACATCAAGTTTCCAAGGCTTATTGATCCAAAAGTTCCATACAAACCAGCTTAATAGATCTCGTTTGTAGTTATTTTTAATTTTTTAAAACTCTGAAATATAACTTAAAATTAAACTTTGAAAGCATGCATCCTTATACTGAAGTTATATACAATACTCATCTTTTGGAGTAATATTTACAGACATAGCTTAGTGGTAGATTTGTGTGTGTGTGTGTGTACTTTCTTGGGGGAGAATTATAGAGGGTTGCCATCTTGAAATGGGTGGGATTCTTGGGGTATTCTGGGCATCCATTTCTACTGCAAATGTGTGAAAGTAATGGGAAGTACAGGAGAGGTCCATGTGAGATAGAATCAGTCAAAACATTACTCTCTTGGTTGCCAGAAAGAGTAGTGCATACTCCTCAAAGCTTAGTCCAGCTGATTGCAAAGTGGCTATTTTTTGGTATGCTTCCCTCAACCCTAGCTGTGGGCCTGAGAGACTGACAAAAATATTTAGGGGTTATGGAGCAAAAGTGGTGAAGGTTTTTGTATTGGGGCACAAGAAAAGCGTATTTAGTCCTATTTAGGCCTTTGGTGACATGGAGGGAGAATCAGAGGGTCAGGAATTGGGTATATAATCATAATTCAAAATATTGTAAACTACAATAAAAATGAAGCAGTGATACTTAAAGAGGATAGAGATTCCCTTTACTCCATTATTAGAAATATTGCTTGTGAATCGATTATGTGGGACTGGTATAAAGATACAAAGACATTGATGATAACTAGGATGGAGGAAGGTAAACCAGACTGAAACTGGGCAAATTTGTGATTGAAGGGTTCTGGTACCTGAGGATTAATGTTAACTGTCTAGACATCTTTTCCACCATTACACTAGACAAGCAGTCTTCAAACCTTTTTTCTTTAAATGTCCAAATAGGGATATGTTAGTCTTTACTGACCACAAATGGTCTCTGTGGTTGTTTCTTTGCTGGTTCTTTGTTTTTTTTACAAACCTTTAAATATATTATAAGCCATTCTTAATTCACAGTGCATACATAATTAGGCTGCAGGCCAAATCTATAGGCTACAGTTTGCCCATCCCTGTATTAAAACCTAGAACATAAACCAAGTGTGGCAGTGCATGCCTATAATCCCAGTAACTTGGAAGTCTGAGACAGGAGAATTAGAAATTTGAGGCCAGCCTTGGCAACAGAGAGACACTGTATCTATGGGTATAGATGAGTGGTAGAGCACCCCTGGGAGGGAGGGAAGGAAGAAAGGAAGGACTGACTTAGCACACAGCAGTTGTTCAAGAACTGTTTAAAAAAATAACTCTTATGAGAGTACATAATAATTATTCTATCCTTCTCAATGTAAAATAAAGATTGAACATAAATGGACTAGACATTCAACTCCAGATTGTAGGAGTCAAACATAAATAAGATAAACCAAAAGAACATAAAAATGGTTTTTAAAGTGTTAAACAGAAATTAATTAATTATAAAGCATCACTTTCAAAACTAGGTTTCATTTTTAAAACCAGGAATTAATTCTTTAAAAGACCAATAAAATAGACAAAAACTTGCTAATCAAGGGGCAAAAGAGAAAAAAATAAATAGATGTGTATATACAGATACAGATATATGGCATGGGAAGAGAGATATGGCTATTATACACATCTTACAGGTAACATAAATGAGAAACCCAATAATCAGAGAAGGAATGGAAAAGATAGTCAAGTATCTACCACCAAAGTAAGCACAAAGTAAGTATCTACCACCTAGTTATCATCAATGTCTTTGTATCTTTATATCAGTCCCACATAAAATATTGATTCACAAGCAATATTTCTAATAATGGGGTAAAGGGAACCTCTATCCTCTTTAAGTATAGGTATACCTTCTAAATTTACTAAATGCAATTGTTACATCAATTAAGCTATTCTAGAGCAATAGTTTCATGGAAAAAAAATGGAGCTTACCAATTTACTTTCAAATTTAATATAATCCTCATGCCAAAACACAAAGAAGTAAAGCCCCTCCAAAAAGGGTTAACCAATTTTATTCATAGATAAATTCGAAATAAAATGTTGGCAAATTGGATGCAAACACATTTTAAATGATTACTACCCTATGAAAGAGGTTGTCCTAGTAATGTAGTACAGTGGTGTGTTGGAGCCCTCTTGCACTGGGTCATGAGAGCATAATAAATCCAAACCTTTCCTCAATAACCTCTCCCCACTTTGCCTTTAAGTTGATTGTTAATCACCTGCCAGCACACCACTTAATATAAATATAATTTAGCAATACAAAGTGAAGAAATGTGGGCTGGGGATATAGCTCAGATGGTAGAGTGCTTGCCTCACATGCACAAGACCCTGGGTTCAATCCCCAGCACCCCCCCACACACACACGCACACAAATAAAAAAAAGAATGTGATTATGTTAAAGATGGTAGAGATGCTGCCATTCAGAATAAAGTAGAGGGGCTACGATTGTGGCTCAGTGGTAGAGCTCTTGTCTAGCATGTGCGAGACCCTGGGTTGAATCCTCAGCACCACATAAAAATAAATAAACAAAATAAAGGTATTGTGTCCAACTAGTTCTAAAAAAATAAATATTTTTTAAAAATAGATGGAAACTTTCTAAATATGTTAAATATTTGAAGCTAACAGTGAAACATGGGATCAATTCACATTAAAGTCAGGGACAAGGCAGGCTCATTTGGTGTGTGTGTGTGTGTGTGTGTGTGTCTGTCTGTCTGTCTGTCTGTCTGTCTGTCTCATAGAAGCAGGGTGATTGCTAGTTCCTGTTTATCAGGTTCTGTCAGCATAATGTCATCAACATAATGGGCAGGCATGGTATTTGTGGGATGTTAAGATATTTGGAGTTCTTCAAGTCTATGTTCTGACAAAGAACAAGGGGGCTGGCATTGCTCTGACATACGAGCAATAAACAATATTATCATTCCTACCTCATAAATGCAAATATGTTCTGATTTTGCTTCTCAATGGGAATGAAGAAAAAGCTTCTTTCTAGATAAATAGTTCCATATAAGGTGTCTGAGTCTGTGTTAATTTACTTTAAAACAGGTATAATATCTGGAATTGCAATTGTTTTTTGGTATCACCACCTGTTTGAATTTGTGGTGGTCTGCTGCCATGTTCTATCTCTCATTTGGCTTTTGTAATGGCCAAACAGGGGCAATAAGGAAAACAATTACTCTCTTGTAAAGCAACTATCTCAGTTTGGTCACTGAAAAGCTTTTATGCAAAGGAAGAATTATTGCTTTAGAGACTGGGGAGAGGTTGATTCCTCAGGCAAAGGTGGTTCAGGGGGATTTGGAATTTTGAAATTCTCAGCTTCATCCATGTCTGCCTAAGTGTCTCCATCCCAGGTCTTAGAGTTCCATTCTTTCCCACCAGTGCCCTTACCATAGCATAATGGAACTGGGGATGAGGAGAGTTGAGCATTTGTCACTACAACTCTGTAACTCTTGTCCTTAATCACTAAGTCATATCTGCCTACAACCATAGGATATGGAGAACTACAAAGATCTCTGTTCATAATTCCTTATAATAACTATTGACCAAAGGTAGAGATGGGGATATGGCTCAGTTGGTAGAGTTTTTGCCTCACACATACAAGGCCCTAGGTTCAATCCCCAGCACTATAATAATAACAACAACAACTATTAACCAAAGGTAGAAAATTCTTTTTTAAAGTTAAACTTACAGAATCTAAGACTGTTTGTCCCATATCTGAAATCCATCAGAAGATCTTTAAAGCATTCATTAATTCTCTTGAAAGGACTAAGTACATACCATTAAGGTGCCAGTAGAATTCCCTCGATAAGTCATCCATTTCTTCCCATCAAGACTATACATGATAATAAATTGAGAGATATAGAGGCTGGAGAACTTCTGACGGGCACCCTGGGTCTTGATGCCATGAATAATCATTGGTGCCAACAGATCTACCTATCAATTAAAAAAAAAACATTTTATTTAAACCTGTTTTTAAAAAGCATGTAATATCTTCTGAAATTAATTATGGGTTTAGGAAGAATCTACATTGCTACAGATGTGTGTATTGTTATCTTGGATATACAGGTGAAGCAGACACAAATTTTGAAAGCTGAACATATTTGTGTGGTTGTGGGATAAATGGTGGGAATGAGTAGAAAAGGTGCTTATTGAGCCCCTGCTTCCTAACAAACCAAATTCCAAATCATTGAATCGTTTCCTCTATATGAACATCCACTCTGCCTGTGGGTAAGGCTTTTTGCCTTTTAGGCCTTCTCACTAAAATAGATGCCTACCCCAACTTCCCTCGTTTTAGAAAATGAAAAATTAAACATGTCATTTGCGTTTGCAGCTCATGTTCTATTTCCATTGAACAGTGCTGCTCTAGAGGAAATAGGAAAGTGAGAAAATCTGAAAACCTAACCTATGAGAGGCTGGGGTTGTGGCTCAGTGGTAGAGTGTTTGCCTAGCATGTGTGAGGCACTGGGTTTTAGTTCTCAGCACCACATATAAATGAATGAATTAAATAAAGGTTCATCAATATCTGAAAAAATATTTTTAAAAAAGCAATTGAGTTAAACTAAACACATTATTTGAAGTATTAATTCTATCTTAGTTCACCAGATTACACTAAATTTAAGTATGTATGAAATACTATCAAGTGGTGTATGATTGATGAAAAAGATCAACTTGGTT